CTCAATTTGTAGCGCATCTAATTCGCAAACAGTAATTAAGTTGGCCCCTAATAAATACGCGTGTGTAGGTACGTTAGTTGCTAGGCTTAAAATCCTTGCCGCGAACACAATGTCAACCATATTTGCCCTCGAAAATCTGGTATATCTCTTTGAGACGTGCCCGTCGAAGCGACCTTTCGCGTCAGAATTTTGGCACCGCAATAGCCGACAGGCAGCCCCGGGATTTTTTTGTATATAATATATATATGTATATGGGTGTGTGTGTGTTTCAGTTCATTGTTCTTTCTGTTTTGTGTTGTTGGGATCTGCTCAATAAGTTGCATTGCCAACAATGTCAGGCGTTTCGATTGTCTGCGCGTTTGTGAGTAGGTATGTAACTAACTTTGAATTAATTTTTCGCTTAAAAATCCGAATTAAAGCAACAACAAATGGGAAGTGACTATAAAAAGGGACAATAAACGCCACGATATAAACATGCGAAAACTGAAAAAAAAAATGTAAAAGTGTGTAGTAGAAAATAAATGTTGCTTATCCGCTCAAAAATATATTATGCCAAAGCGTAACTGTATTACCGTTACTTTTGTATGTGTATTTGTGTTTGTATGAGTTTTCTCGAAGCAACAGAAAAAACGTGAAAAAGTGACTCACCCTTGACAAGCATCAGCTGGTCTCGTGTTCCGTAAATATGTGCCGTTTGTATAGCCCTGAGTCAGAAGCAAATTTGCAAAAACAAAGAAGACAGAAGACAAAATATTTAAAAAGGAAAATTCCCATGTAGCCTAAAATCTGTGGACATAATGCAAATATGGCCTGCAGCTCATTAATAAGCTGAGAAAAAATTACAAAACCCTAACCAAGCACAAAACAACAAGTGTAATTTGGAGACAAACATCGGGAGACAGTGAATGCGCAGCCAAAGGCTTGTAGGAATTGCTTTACAGACAGAGGTGAATATACAATTGTAAACTACATAAATGTCACCATTTACGATTAATTTATGATGCTGTGTCAAAAAGCATACAAATTCATTGCAGTAGCAGTGAGTTGGGGCTTTTACGACATTCAACATATTTCGTGGTGAAATATTATATTTATTTCGTGGTGAGTTTATATAAATTTATTTTTATTCCATTTTATTTTAAGAACAGCGTGTTAGGTCTTTTACGAGATTTAAAACATTTCGTGGTGAATAATTTGTTTCGTGGTGAGTTTGTATAAGTTTATTTTAAATTTGTTATGCAAATTAATTTGTGGGGAAATACTTATTTCGTGGTGAGTTTATATAAGTATATTTTTATTCTAACTGCATTATGCAAATCAATTTGTGAAGAAATACTTATTTCGTGGGGAGTTGGTATAAGTTCACTTTCAGTCTACTTTATTTTGATGACAGTCAGTCAAGCTCTTTTATGCGTTATGTAGATTACATTGTGCAGAAATTTGAAGTTGTGATAAAAGAATAAAAGAATATGATTGACAAGAGTAATCCCTATATTCTATTTTCCAGCCATAGTATCCATTCATTACCCTTCTGCCCTGTCAAATTTAAGTCGTACTCACCATTTCTAATGAAGCTCTAGCGTCTCACGGGGTATGCACATTTTTACCATGCAGCAGCAGAAAAAAAGAGAAACCAAGACAACTCAAATTCCGCCAAATGACGCGTCACGCGTTCAATTTGCCTTCCAGCAATCTAAAGCATAAAGCGCAAAAAGGGCACGAGCATAACAAACGCTGGTCAAACTAATTTGGGAACAAATGCACTCTTATATATTTTTTAATGCGAACGTATTTTCCACTATCTCAAATCAGCAAAGGAAAGTTTTTAAAATTTTCCAGCCATTCGGGTGCAGGCTTTCGCTTCTCCTTGTTCGGCTAATCCAAGGGTATTTGTACAAGTATATTAATGCCGACTAAGACGTGCCTATGTTTATGAGCGCTCCTATAAATATTTACAGTTGCACATAAAGCAAGCCATTTTATTTTTCTGCGCTTCTTATTGTTGTTGGCGTATAAGTTTCATAACTGTAACTATGCTTTGTAGTCTGTTATCTTAATGACAATCTTAACAACCCGCATTTATATTTGCATTCATAGCGCCTAACCACAACAACAACTATTCTCACTTCAATGGCTACAAATGAAACATAGATACATTATTTGCTGCCGAAGTTCAAGGATGTTCGATTAATGGCGGCTCACAGTCGCAATTAGTATTCAAATGGCCTGGTTAGTTTGCGAATCACTAAACACATTGATCACACTTAATGCGTAATAATTACTTTTTATGCAAAATTCATGAGCCACAAAGGGGTTACATTTAATTATTGCTTAAAACTTTTATAGTATTTGTAAATAAAAACGGAATTCTCCTATTGATAATATTTAAAAACAAGAAAAAATTTCAACTTCGGCTGCACCAAACAAAAAAAATTCCATAAAATCACTTTATTTTGATCGTTCAGCTTTTATAGCACCTACATATATGCTATAGTTTTCCGATCTAAAAAACAAATTTCGGATTATATACCGTTATATTGGCCAATAATCTGAGCCAAAATTATCTCCACAATTAAAAAAGTTTTCCTTACGAGGACTTGATTTTGAACGATCAGTTTATATGGCAGCTATATGCTATAGTTTTCCGATCAATTTGTTCGAAAATTATAACATGGTTTGGAAAATAATTCATGCCAAATTTCGTTATGATATCTCGTCAAATAAAAAAGGTTTCCTCATTAGCAATTCAATCCGATCGTTCAGTTTGTATGACAGCTTAATGCTATAGTGGTCCGTTATCGGCGGTTCCGACAAAGGAGCAGGTTCTTTGTGAGAAAAGGACGAGTGCAAAATTTTAGAGCGATATCACAAAAACTGACAGGTAGATGATGAGACAGACGGACATGAATAAAACGACTCAGCTCATCACGCTGAAAATTTTAATACATGCCATACATATTTTATAGGATATCCGACGTTTGGTTGTTATAAACTTCGTGGCAAACTTATTATAGTCTGTTCAAGCCTTTTGCATAATAATAGATTGTTTGCGATTTTCTGTAATATTTGAGCTTTTCTACATTCTGTAGATCTATACTGAAGCATGTGAAAAGCTGCAGTTATATAGAACTAAATTTTTTCTGCCATAATTTATTACTTATAACAAAATTTATATTATTATTGTACCACTGCTATACTTTACAACGAAGTTTAACTACTACGAGCTTATTAAAGATAATTACCATACATCATTTTACGTTTTCCATTTCGATTTCCCGAAATCGCAAAATAATAATGCGACAGGTATTGCAAAACTGCGCGACAGCAGATAATTTGCACCGAATACGTACAAAAATAATCCGCAATAATCTTCGAATATTTCTCGAATAAATACATATTATACACATATTCCATATTACTTGCATAGGTTAAAAATACAGGGTGCTTCAAGGTAACTATAATACAATATTATATAAAACATTCTTAATTTTGCAATACTTATTCAGATAAGCTATATATAATTATTTAAATAAAACTTAAATTTAATACAGGGTGTTGCAAAGTACCTATTTTGCAAGTTTTACTTTTACTTAAACAAAAAACTCTCAATTAGAAAATTTTAAGGCGGTCAAAATTCCAATTTTCAATAATACACCCTCTATTTTGCTGTTTCCATTTTCGTTATATTCAAGCGTTCCCTTTGTTGTCCTCTGCACAAGCTCGCCTTTTGTGTTTATAGAAAAGGACTTATCCCAATTTTTGCTGGAGAAATAATCTGTATGAAATGGCGATGTACATCATTATAGAGTTCATGATTCCTGAAATAAAATAATATACAATGAAACGAATGGTAACAATTATAAGTTGGACATACGATTGTTTAAAATTCTCATCTTAAAGCAGTCGTGAAAAATTTAAGTAGGGTGTGAGGCATGAGGATGTATGAGGAAAAGATCAGAATGGGAGTCAGCTAAGAGAAAGCCGGGAGCGCAAAAATCAGGCAAAAGGCGTGGCATTGCCTACATTTAGGCGGCATACTATCTGTCTCTCTTATATCATACTTTTTATTAGCGTAAGACAAAAGCATACATCTTCGCGCTGAATAAGTTCATTCGTATATCTTAGAACGTTTTGAAAATTATAACACTCAATAGATTTTAGTAAACTATGGTATGTAAAAATAACTCAACTGTGAGTCAAAAACTTATTTAATATAAAAGCTTACACCAGAAAATTTGAGGTCATACTTAACGTGCATATACTCTTGACCAGAATGTCTGAAGCAAACCCATAGTTTTCTGAAACGCATGCAGCGACATTACTGTGCCCATTAGCCTGTCCTTGCGTACCCCGCATCCGTCCAAATATTACCGTAATGGATGAATACGCCCAGTGAAATATTCGATCTCTTCTACAAACTATGTTTACAAGCCTAACGCCTACGCGTGTGGCATGCTCAAGCAACAAAAAAAAAACGGTTTAATGTCATATTACGTAAGCGTGTTTGTATGTGCGCCAGTGCTCATTGGCGACTAGCGGCTTGCAGCAGCGTCGCGAATCCGCGCGACCGGCTCCACTTTTGCTCATTCATTTCATTTGTGTTGCCACTAAGGTGGCTGTGAAATATAACACGCTCATAATTGGCCATAAATCTGACAACAGCAATTTGTCAACACTTGTGCAGGAAGTGAAGCATTGCATTAAATTGCCGAACAAGGTCGTCAAGCGGTTGGCGTTCCGTGCATAGTAAGGGTGCTTTGGGTTTGGAAAAAATATGGCTAAGCGTTTTTTCGTGTTCACACTGAGCACATTCTGGCAATGCTGTGAGCAGTTGGTGGGCTCTAAGCATTTTTTATATGTATTCCTCTTTGCTTTCCTTCTCTTCTATTCTCCTTTCCTTCGAAATATTATATATTGGGATTTCCCTAAAAGACACAGTACAATGTTGTAAATATAATTACGGCAATAAACATACATTGCTAATGCCGCGGGTATTATGAATGGGAATAAATCATAAAATGTCACGTGTGGCCTTCTTAAAGGTATCATTGAAATTTGAAGTCTGCGAGAAGACAGCTTAAATAAGTAACTGTTTTCAAGGTGGAAAGATGTGAATATCCCTCTTATTGTGATATCTCCTAATATGGTGCTGGACTTCCTGCGGTCTCTGACATCCACAACTGGTATTGAATAGGTCCATACAACAAGTGAGATCCATCGATTTTTTGAATCAACTCCACGACCTAACCGTATAACAGGAGAGTCATGTTAAAAGATTAACAAAAAGGTATTTACTTATTAATTTCATATGTACTTAGTCCAACGTCGCGCTCTTTACGTATAACACAAGTAATCCTACATTTTGCTTTATTATGTCGTTGAGGTCTGTGTCATTTGTGTTTAATAAGTGGGGCTTAAAACCAAAGTTATCAAAAAAATATACAATAAAACTAAGTAGCGTTAGTCTTCAACGTAAACAGTCTCCTAACTCATGCAGTTCGAAAATATTAAAGTGTACTATACAAGAGAATGTCAGACAATAAGTGTTTACTCCATATTCGTCTAAAATAATCAAATATATACTAGTGACCGTCCTTCAATATTTTCGAAAACTTGTTTATTTAAAGGGTATTTTGATTGCATTTTGTAAATAAATGATAAGCGTAAACCTGAACGGCACCGCTTGATAAGTTATTGCCAATTATAAACAAAACGCAATTGTTCTGTAAACATGAAATAACGCTGATTATATTCTCAAATAATAATGAGATCAAAAGGCAATGAATACATGCATGAGGGATGTAACTTTGCGCACTACCCTCTCTATGTTGACATATTACCTTAAGGAGGCTTTAAGCAATATAACGAAAAATAAACCGAAACATAAATTCAATTTTGTTATTTATTTTATAGTTTAAATTAAATTATCGTTTTATTAAATGATTCATTCTCGCACGCTGGGTGGTTTTGAACGACGCCAAATAAACTGGACTTGATGAACCGTTTGCAGCCGCCTACAGGTCACATCTTTTAAACCAATAAGTACTTACAAAGCTTACATATGCACGCTTGAGAAATAAATTGAGCTATTAAGCTATATACAATAATTTTTTTATACTAGTATATACCATTTATTTGCACAACGCTCGGCTCTCAGACAAATCTGTGAAATTTCACAGTTGAAACTCATAATCTGAAAATTGCGTATACTAAAGTACGCTCTCACGTACATACGTAATTAGATTAGAGTGCACCTTATTTGAATGAATTTTTTTATTACAAATTTGCACTCAATTTAAAATCTTCGAAAGTTATGCTGACGCTAGTTAGATCGCTAAAATGTGGATCTGAACATTTGATGGATTTGAAATAGATATAATAAATATATGCGAACCATACATTGTTAAGAAAAAAGTGATTTGTAGATTTTGGACTTACGTAGATCCAAAGAAATACTTGTGAATTCATCTTAGATAAGCGTGTATGGTAAATCGCATAGAAAACTGACAAGAGACTTTTTTCTTTTTGTAGAAACAGCAATTAACATACATAAAACATTTGAAGTCGTTGGAGCGGCTTTAGAGATTAGTTCAAACGGTCACGTTAACATACTGGTATTATATATTAATCACCTTCATACAGTACATAATCCAAACAATAATTTTGGAATAATTTTTTACCTTAATAGCAACAACACCGTATTAATAGAATTCTTTCGGAGCTCCCTAATAAGTAGGAATATACTAATTATGTAAAAGTTGCACTCAAAACACGCAGTTGTTGGGCAGTCTGAAGCTCTTTTATATCTCTACAGCCAGTAGTTTAATGTTTATATGACTACTGAATAATTTTTTCGAGCATTCCAGCTAAACTTTTTCGACTTGGAGTTTTTTGTAATCAGGAGTTTGAATTATGCTGAGATAATAAAAATGCAGCAGTAAATGTAATTTTGTTTATACTTTTGATCTCAAACCCTTAATCAAATTAAAACGCTTCAGCAAATAATTAGCGGGAACTTAAACTGACACATAAAGCAGCGAGTGAGCGCATATTTAGTATTTCACAGCTAAACTTATATATTCTGCACCAAAAAGCGTAAGATTATTTAATATCCGGCGGCCTTATTCTTCTTACTCGTCAACAGCCCAGAGAAAATGAGAGCCAATTTCTTTTTTTAATCGAGTATAGGCGGCCCCTTTGAGCTGCTTTTACTACGATCCCGCGCACCACATTAAATTCTTCATTCAAAATTTAGTGGCTAGCTCGAACGGCCGAATATAGCTCAGCTTCTAGCAGCCTTAATTTGAACTTCATGTCTTCTCAGACAAATTTCGGCCGTAGTCAAATTCTAAACGTCGGCTCTTACGGTTGAACAGCGCAGCAGTCGGAAAGCCTTGTGTCACACTAAAATAATCGAAACGAAACGACGCTTTAGACACAAGCGCACTTTCATTCAGATTATTTGCATTAGAACATTTACAATGTCAGTCAAATTAATTTGCCTTCTAGCGATTTTTACACTGTGTGCGACTGTTGTGATCACGGAGGCACGAGGTGGTGGCCGCGGACGTGGCGGTTCATTAGGCTCCACCTTTTACAGGCGCTCGCACAAGAAGCATACCTCCTCAGGTAATGGTGGCTCGCGACGGAAAATTCTCAGCAGCTCGCCAGTGCACACCATTTACACGAACTCTATGTTTGCCGCTGAAGGCGTGAATGAACAGTTTGCAAAGCATCGATCGCGCCACCGTAGTAAGCATCACAAAAGCACGAGCACCCACAAAAGTCCAACGCACACGGACTCACACGTCAATCACAACAGTCACAGCACTTCTGGCAAACAGAGTCGGCACAACACGCACAATTGGCATAGCTTAGGTACAGGCGTCTCGCAACACCATACTTATGCTGCCAATCCTCATATATCCCACAACTGGGGTGGCCATCAATTGGCACCTGGTCATGTCTACGTTACACAACCGTCCAGCATTCCGGTCAATGCCGTGTACTATGCACAGCCACCGAGACACACCAATACGGATGGTAATTAGTTGAGGAAACACATTTACTTCTTTAATTTATAAACACATTCATATTCTTTATAGATTCAACAGCTTTTGATTTAGGTTATCTTGTGGGCCGAACTATTGTACGCCGTCGTCACCACCACCACTATGAACAACAGCCACAACAGCAGCCCAACAATCAGACGCAAACGTCAATTACTACCGTGGCCAACCATATGAATCCAACAGTTGTAGCCCATCCCACAGAGCAGCCGCACTATTGGCCCACTGACTCTGAAATAGCTCTGGCACCGCTCAATAATACACTGATCCCAAATGGCGTAACATCCTCCGAGCCTATATTTAAAAATCCTCCCATCGTCAGCGCTCAGAAGCTTACCGCAGATAACGCAATATTCGAACTTCCAACAGTCACAGCACCACCGCCTGCAACACCGCCCACCAATGGCATTATCTGTATGCCATGGAGCTTTAATGAAACCGATCCGGCGAAACCGGAAAATGTTATTGTTGTGCAGAAAACAATTTGCTTCCCAGCTCCACCAGCGCCACCTGCACCACCGACCACTTCCATGGGACCGATCGCGGGTGATATTAGTGTTGATGTATCGACAACCACCAAAGCTGCCTTAACTTAAACATTTGGTTTTTGGTTTTAGCAAATAGCGTACTCGTATATATAATCAATAGTCGTATCTATGGTCCTCTTTGTAAATTTTTGATTGCCAACATTTTTCAATTTTATTGGGAATAATAAAAGGAGATTTTTTAATACTACACTTATATTTCACTGAAACTTTAAATGAAATAAATAAAACCGTTTTCAAAAACTTTTTGCAAAAACAAAACCATTTTTCTACGCAAAGCATAGAAAAATTCGGTGGTGGCTTTCTTACCCTAAAATGTATTCTTCCGGAGTATGGTGCCACTACATTATGGCTTTTCTTTATTTTTATACCCTGAACAGAAACTTAATATAGTTTACCACGCAGTTTGAACACCTAGAAGGAAATATCGGAGGCCCTATAAAATGGATATACTTTTATTGTATAAATGATAGGGCACAATAGACCATAGGTCGCGGTGCATACCTCTATCCTTATCTATACATAAATGATCAGCATGACAAGCTGAGTCGATTTAGCGAGGTCCATCTGTTCATCTGTCTGCCTATAGGAGAACTCGTTACTCAGTTTTTGAGATATCGTTCTCAAATTTTGCACACGTCTTTTTCTTCCAAAGAATTTGGACAAAGATATTGGACTGACATAGCATATAGCTGCTGTACAAACCGACCGATCAAACTCGAGTTCTTGTATGAAACACTTATTTCATTTGACAAGGTATCTGCTCGATATTTGGGATAGAACATTATCCACAGCAGCAATTTAATCTGCAAAGAAATTGTTCAGATCAAACAATTATTTTATATAGCAGCCATACAACTGGCCGATCGAATTCGAAGGTCATTGTATAGGAATTTTTTAGATTTCACAAGGTATTATCATGAAGTATCTTCAAGAAAATTTGCATGGATTTTTGTTGAAGGCATCACTATAATCTCCGAACATATTGTTCAAATCGGACCTTTATAACATATAGCTGCGACTCAAACTGACCGATCAAAACTGCATCTTTGAAGAGTATTATAGCTTTGGTGTAACCGAAATTAATGTTTTTTAGGTAATTTTTAAAGTGTCGTATAAAATATTCAATATAATATTCAATAATGTTACAAGAGTACAGAAAATTAAAAAAAAAAATGTTTAATTAAACATACTGGCAGCGGATAAAGTGGGGGGTCTCAAAAAATTGGCAGATGAGCATGCCCATGATTTCAACCGCCCTAGTCAACTGAAATGAACAGAAAGATTAATTAAAACTTTTAATTTGGGGATGAGACTAGTTCATACTCGAAAGACGCTCATAAAAAAGATTCTCTAAAAATTTTAAGTAAATCGGTCGAGCAAAACTCAACAAATCGTGGATATCGTATTGAAAAAGTCTGATCTGAGAAAAACGCATTTATAGTTTCGCGTAAAGTCTTTTGTTCGATTAGACCCAGTCGAACCAATTTGGAGGTCGGGTCGGTAAAATTTCTATATCTTCGAAAATAATTTAAATTTTCGAAATTCGTAGACATATATCGAAATAGTTAAACTTTGAATATATTAAAAAAAAATAGATTTTTTTTGAAATTCTACAGTAGAAGACGCGCTTAAATCTTCAGTAAAAGAGCGATTAGACAATGCGTAGAAAAAATTTTTTTGAACAATATTATTAGAACTTTTTCTTAGCGATCCTCCTTGTCAGTTTTTCTGAAAAAATAAATAAACTTGTAACTAATATTGTTCACTAAAACACATTTTTCACTATTTTTACAGCTGATCATTAGTTCAGTTACTTTACTGCTAAAAGCAGCTAATATAATGCGAATACTGAGAGAATTGCTTATACAAAACTAGCAGATATTACTCAGAAATAAGTTGCGCTCTCTCCGCTCCACTAGCTCTCGGCTTTCGCTCTCTTTTTTCTTTTTTTTTTCAACAAATGCTTGACGAACTACTAAATACACTGCATATATCGATATGATATTCAAACTAGTCATTTGCAACTCTGCATGTGCGACTCATCTGGTGTTTTGTTTTGCTACCGCTTTGACGTTTGTGCCAGCCGGCGCTTGCAACTGCCATAAATTGATGCCTGCGCATACACACACTATTATCATACGCGCACAACGGCTAAGCTGATTTCATATGCTAAAAGCAACAACTAACAAATAATAATAACAATGAAAACTGAATCGCCTCAATGAAAATAAACGCATACCATCATCTAATTACATACAAACGTGCACAGCATATATATATGTATATATGTGCATATGTCTGTATGTCGGTACGCACACGCTAAGCTGAATAGAGCTGTCCCCCAACAGCAACTGCGCGCAAACATATCAAGTTTAGTTTACTCGCAAGCTTTGAACAGCGCGAACACAAAAACACTAAACAGAAAGCAACAAAACTTGTCGCAAGTGCGCAGCGTGCTTGAAGCGCAGATTTTTATAGACACCGAACAAAAATACAAACAACAAGTGAATTGTGTTTCATGTAAGTGTACGCAGCGCATTTCATTGATTTTTGCATAAATTTGAAAACTACCGGTTTTCGCTACAGAAATATGTCACTAAGCGCAATAATATAATGTGAATATAATTTCTCGATATACAGTACTATTGCAAGTGTATTTTATATACAGTTCGCCGAAGGTCAAATAAATTAAGGCATGTGTTATTTGAAAAAAGAAAAAATGCATAAAAAACTCATTAAAAAATTAATAAAATATTAGCTCGATCAACTGAATTTATGCACTGTTTTGAATTTTAGCAGTGCCTATATGTATACTCCGCGCATATATAATTATTTTACAGAATATTTCAGTACAAACCTAAATATTTTTTGTAAAACGTCACTCTAAAAACCATTACTGAAAGCAAGTACTTAGAAATTTGTAAATGAATAGCGCGCCGATCATTTTCAAAACGGTTCGCATGACTAAATCACAAAAAAAAAAAAATTTAAAATGTGTATAATTATAAAAATATATATAATTTTATATATATGTACATTTGTTTACAAATTGCTAGTGAATTTGCAAAAATTTAAATTACAAATGAACTGAGCCGCATAGTTGTACATACATATATACAGCCACTGGTCATTGAAATGAGAACGACCGGAATTTGTTATTTGTACACTGAACAGGGTATATTAGGTTGGCCACGAAATTTTTAATACCCAGAAACGGCAGAAACGCTATAAAGTTTATATACTCGTATAAACGATTAGCCTGACGAGCTGCATCGATTTAGCCAACTACTTGTGGGTGTATATATGCGGGTGCTCCCCCAGTTTTTGAGATATCGATTAGAAATTTTGCACACGCGATTTTCTCACCACACAGCTGCTTATATGTCGGCACCGCCAATATCTGACAATTATAGCTTACAGCTGTCATACAAACTTAACGATCGAAATCAAGGGCTTGTCAGGAAAGCTCTCTTATTTGACAAGATATATACATGAAATTCGACATGGATTATTACCCAAGGCAATGCTAAAATCTGCAACAAAATTATTTAGATTGAATTGAAATCAAGATAAATTTCTATTATACCCTTTTTGACTCTAAAAATACACCTGTGTAGGGTATTATAGCTTCGCTGCATGCAAGTTTAACGTTTTTTCTTGTCTTGTATTCAAAAATGGTATGAAACTGAGTTGGTCCCACCGCGGATTCGAAATTTCCTTATATCGAGCCAAAACCAGTTTGAATTCTAAAGTGAGTAGTAAAAAATCTGTGATAAAAAAGATGTCAGCTCATTAAAAACTGCAAATTGTGGCTTCATTAAAACGAATAATCTTAAACTTCTGCCAAAAACTGAACTCGCTAGTAGTATATAATACTAATTTTTTCCGAATAGAACCTGTAATTAAATAGAAAAGAACGCATGAATTTTTGAGCCCTTCCTTTTTGAAATCATACTATTGTAAATATAATCGAGCACCAATGAGGCATAAGTAGTTACCATCACCATAGATTAGTTTATTATTATTTAATTTTGTTTATTTATTTATTATTTTTGTGGTAACTCACACGTTTATTTGTTTAGTTCACTTATTTCTACTCATAAATTTATTATTTTTTATTTTATTATTTGGAAAACCAACACTCATGTACATTTCAGTAGAAGTCGCAGCGATATTCCAAATTGACATTTGATCTTGCGCAGCTGATAAGCGTATCTTGCTACTGTCTTATTTAAAGTGAATAATTTCAAGGCGCTTAAGGTATTATTATCAGCAATTTTGTGCTTAGTTGAAGAAACGAACAGTAAAGGCTGAAATTCTATATAAAAATGTCAGAATTGCTTTTCAAACAATTTTTGCATTGAAAAATTTGCAAAAGCCTATTTCATAGTCAATACTGAAATTGGAAGTGAAAATTTTCGAAACAAAAGCTGTCTTCAATTCGTCAAGTGTTAGACAGTCGCAAATCAAACAAGTAAATAAAAAAAATACAAGAGACTGTACCAAATACTAAAATCGTAAGACACTTTTATGAGATATTCGTATACGCTATCGTGCTGAATTCAAGTGTATAGCATTGTTGTCCTTTTCGCAAGCACATTTTTTTAAGAAGAGAGCTTAGCTCAAATACTAGCGGTGTTCGTTTCGCCATTTCTTTACACACTTCTGCTCTCTTGTCAAAAAAATTACATATAAAACCAACAACAAAGTTATCGACTTAAATTCTTACAAGATAGTATGCGGATATCTCACAAAATATATCGCTATCTTCAATGCTACAAAACTGTCTATTGCACATTTTAGATCAATTTTGTTATTGTTAATGGTTTAAATGGCAAATGAAAATACAAATTTATTTATTTTTTTTGAATTTTTAAAACTAAAGACTTAAAGTGAATTGCAGTAATTTATAGAAAGCATAGCTAAGGCGTTACTGAAACTTTTTTAACGCGAAAAAAAAAATGTCTCCACTAAGAAAGAATCATAAGCACAAGCGTCAGAAGTTATATTAGCGCAGGGTTGCACCACAAGTGCTGTCCGTTTGCTTGAATATCAGCTATTGTTTGTTCGATTCGCTACTCTCTAACGCTTGGCGAATCAAAGACAAATACTATACGAGTAATACTACTGTAATACTGTACTAGCTATACTCGCATTTGTATACAGAGTAGTGGCGTAACGAACACGTCATACAGAGTCATATAGAGATGTCAAAATATTTAATTTTAACCAAAAATATATTAAAATACCATACATTTATACAAATTTAGAAATTCACAGCTCAAAAATTTCAAACACATTCATTAATTTTATTAAACATAATCAGTAGAGAGTCTTAACTCTTACATACATATTGGTATTTTTATTTATTTTCTCTCCTATATTTTAATTTTTTTCTTGTAATATCCTCCGGCATGCCATTTAATAACAAATTTTTTTCACAAAAACATACAAACGTATGTAGCTGTGTTGTTGTTGTTTCCTCATTTTGCATAACTTCTTTTAGCGCTGTACAATTGACAGCTTTCGATTGAAGTCTTTCACCTGCTTACTTTGAGTAGGCACTCGTAACAACTCGTGTTATCCACCACAGTCTCATTAATCACTGACACATTTAACTAACCACTCGAGTGTAACTTCAAGTGCACAAGAGTGGTTGGCTGATAGACACCGGCAGACAGACAAACTCGCTGATCGACAAAGAGGCCGATAGGCAGCTTGCCAATAAATGCGGTGTGCACGAGCATATGATGCAAACTTAATATAATTAAAATGGGGAATTAATTTTTGCTTTTTCACGTGGGAGATGCGCATAAATATATACAATATATATAGAGATATGAATATGTGTATTTATGTTTGTATGCATGTATAAATATGGTATGGTTAATGGTTTTCAATGTGCTTGTAATTACGTTACGCAATGGCTTAAAGCTGTACTTAAATATTTCCTTATAAAGCAAATTTATAGCAAAATATTTATTTCGCTATAATTTATGCGCGCAAAATATATGTTTCAAACGAAAGTATTCGGTTTTATTGTTTTTTACTCATACGAGTATATACCACTAACAGCTGAATGATTCATCTGTGACGCATGAACTGGTTGTTGCTGCTTTTGTGAATGATGAATAATAAGTTATTGTGTTGCAATTCTGCAGTACAATTGTTTATGGTTGAATGCCTGTCGTTTGTGCTTTGATATCAAACTTTTAACTCAATAATATGAAAGTGATGCGCCGACACGAAAGTTAAAGAAATGATTTGTTCGAAAATCAACTGAAAATAAATAACCCTGATTATGCGTGTGTTTATATGCCATGTTGTAGAACGCTTACACATAGATATAAACACTATAATTGCATTTTATTAATACTTTTGTTTACTACAACCAACTAAATTTAGCGCTGAGCCACTTTTCATCAACCAAATGCAGCCAAATATACACATACACACACACACTAACAGTTGCTATTATAGATGTAGAAGCTTATCTGCGCGATACTAGGTGACAACTTTAGCTACAAATATTGTATATGTACGTAAATAAAATACAAACCAAAAGCATAATTTAGTAAATTGCTGGCAACAGCGAATTCCGGCGCGCACATTTCGTACGCAAATACTCATTGAGCCGCGGCCTATTTGTTTTCGAAAGCACTCATCTTAATTATGACTGACAAGTGACAACTAAATAAATTGTAAGCACAAGGGAAGTGCGCGTATACCAACAGTTATACATATACATATATATATGAAACTGTGTTGTTGTAGCACTGCACGCTGTAAAATTGTTGTGTAATTGAGACTACTTAGAAAATTTGTAATATTTTGTAGATTTACTGATAATTTTGTAAAATTCTAGAAAGTAGCAGCGACGCAAAAAATTGTGTGTAATTTCACTTAAGGAATTTTTACTAAAAAAAAATCTTATATAGTACTATATTAAACTATACTATGTGTGTATTATATTATATTATATAATATGGCAACGCGAGGGAGCAAGTGCCACAAATAGTCTATACACAGAAAAAAGTTAGCTTCAATAACAGCGAGGCTAGAATACCCATCACAAATACAAAACATTTCTTACAAGTACTTGATTCCGATCGTTCAGTTTGTATGGCAGCTATATGACATAGTGGTCTGATCTGAACAATTTTCGCGGTGGCTGCATCATTGCCGCAGAGAATAATCCACGTAAATTTTCGTTAAGATATCTCTTCGAATTAAAAAGTTACTCATACAAACACTTGAATCCGATCGTTCAGTTTGTATGGCAGCCATATGCTATAGTGGTTTAATATTGGCGGTTCCGACAAATGAGCAGCTTCTTGGGGAGAAAAAAATTTATGGAAAATTTCAGAACAATATCTCAAAAACTGAGAGACCAGATCGCGTATATGCAGACAGACAGTCGATTCTTAGGCAGAACTTAATATATAATATATCCTGTTCAGAGTATAAGAATTGAATATGACATGTAAAAAATGTTGTACTACCCTAATACCACATATAAATATTATCAATGGAAATAAGTGGATATTTGCTAAGCAAAATTACTGCTATTTGCTATATTGCATCAAACTCAATTTAAATCTTCTTGATCAATTCTGAGAATTAATTGATAATGTGCAAATGATTCTTCGAAAATTGTTTGCATAAATTCTACATTATATAGAGAGCTATGAAACTTCGTTGCTTGGTAACGAGGTCTTAAAGCTAATTTATCTCCCGCTTTATAAAGTTATATAGCATTACACCATAGAGAGGTAAATTAATCCAAACCCGCCCCGCTAACACTCACTGCTTTATTTCATTAACACCATGTAAACTACATAATTATCTAAAGAAGACTACATACATTTCAACATTTTTATAACTTCCTTTAGTAAAACAGCATTTGCAGCGCATCTCACTGATTTGTTTACATCTTTTTCTAGTTTCAGTAAAAATCAACAGTGAATCACTGTACTCTATTTGAAGGCGCGTCAAAATGAGTCCGTCACACCTGAGGCTTTACTGCATCACAATCGTTTGCTTGCTTTTATCCAATTGTCTGTTTGCAGATGCAAAACGTGTTTACAGCGGCGGTCGACGCAGCTCCAGCAGCAGCAGCAGCTCGTACACACCACGTCGCACGTCATCGCAGACGCATAGTCAGTCTCATGGCGGTGGCTACACTTCACACTCAGCCGCTCCAGCATCGCGTCCATCCTACTCACATTCGGATGCAACAAAACTCAGTTATGGTGGCAACACCTATTCGGCACCCGCCAAACCGCAGAGCTCTGTAACAAGCCATACGCAATCACGTCCGGCCGCCACGTCAGCACCTATCGGTTGGAATGTGCCCAAATCACAAGGTCCACCACCAGCATACTCACCCTCCAATCCAGCGGGTGGTGCGCGCACTAATATACATGAGCCACCACCAGCCTATAAAGCCACGGCACCGGTAGCTTCGGCGCCCGCTTCATCCTCCGTCTACAGGCAAAATGCACCGCCACCGAATTATGCCGCCGCAACAAATACGGCCAACCGTGGCTCAATGACACCGGCACAAACATACAATCCCAGCGCACCGGCTGCCGCTAATAACTACCGCGGCACCATGACACCAGCGCAGACATATAGGCCAAGAGCAAATTCAACAGGCTTCGGAGGTGGCGCATATACACCGATACAGCGTACTAATGTGCAGGGCGTACACTCTAGTTATCCTCAACAGAGTTTACCTGCAGGTGCAACGTATTACAATTCGCCATCGCACTTACCAGCGGGTGCAACTTATCACTCAGCTGGTTCTCTGCCGGCTGGCGCGACTTATCATCCGGCTGGCTCTTCGTATCATGCACCTGGTGGCTTGCCTGCCGGTGCCACCTATTATCCTTCAGCAGGCGCATTGCCAGCCGGAGCTAGTTATCACCCAGCAGGACATGTACCTGCCGGTGCCACTTATTACCCTTCAGCTGGTGGTGTACCTGCTGGCGCGAGTTATTATCCGGCCGCGGCAGCAGTGCCGGCTGGCGCAACCTTCCTGCCGGCGGGTTCGTCGCTACCGGCTGGTGCAACCTACTATCCACAGGCGCCGGTTAAGTCCTCATCCGGTCTTGGATTCGGTAAGTATCGTTACATTTCTTATTAATATTTAACTCTGCTAGTTAGTGTCTTCTGTGTGTTCAGGCCTCCTTCATTATTTTCTATTGCGACTATTCTCAATCTTTACTCTTTCACACAGGTTCTGGTCTGGCTGCCGGCGCTTTAGGAGGCGCTCTTCTCGGCTACGCATTGACACCATCACAAACCAAAGTAATTGAGCGTGTGCCCGGCGGTGGTGGTTATAGCGGTGGTGGTTATAGCGGTGGCGGTAGCGCCCCACCTGTCAGCGGTGGGGACGATCGCATCATAATAATAAATAATGGACCACCAGGATCAGTGACAACTACGGATGCCGGTTCCGGTACAACTGTCATCACCACCAATGCAGCAGCTCCTGCTGCCGCACCGCAAGCAGTAGCACCACAAAATTACGCACCACAAAATTACGCGCCACAACCCAACATGGCGCAACCTACAGCACCAAATCCAGGGACACCACAGCTGGCACCTTTCGGTACTGCTCCAACCGATAATGGTGGTAATGTAGCAGCTGCCGTAGGTGGTGCAGCTGCCGGGGCGGCAATCACAGCTGCCGTTGCTCCATCACTTAATGCCGCACCTGCTTCTAGCGCTGGCGAAGCTGCAGGTGCTCCCGTTCCCAATGCTGCTAATTCTGGCTCAGCACCCGCTCCAGCATCGGGCGTAGCCCCTGAAGCGGCACCTGCTGTAGCACCTGGCATAGCACCTGAACAGCCGCCCGCACCAGGTGGCATTATTTGTGTACCCGTTCGTGTCCCTGAACCAGATCCTGCAGATAATACAAAAACGATTGAAGTAGAAAAGATAGCTTGCTACCCGGCACCACCTGCAGAGGCGACAACACCCGCACCAGCAGCCACGAATGCAACGGAAGCTGCAGCGGTCACAGCTAGCAGCGCCACCATACCAACGACAACAACAACCGTCGCTCCCGTCATCGCACCGGCTGCCATTAGCAATTCGGAAATTGGCGTACCATTGGCACCACTCACCACATTGACACCCGTAGTAGTTCCAGAGGGTTCGGTCGCTTTGGCGCCGCTCAGCCCAAACAGGCAGCCGGATATTATGAAATTGCCGGGCACTTATTATGCTCGACGCTCAGTATCCAGTGTGGAGCTGGCCGAAAGCTCCGGCATGGTACGCGCCGGTGCAGCAAGCAATTACGCCAATTTTGGTATTGCGACGCTGTTGACATTGGTAGTGGCATACTGCATGCACTAATGCTGCCACAACAACCCACCTAACGGTATAGAAATCAAATGCAAGCTGTGGTCTCGCAAGTATGGCGGTGAGTGAGGCAGAATTAAAGCCAAAAATATAGTATAGCAGGAATTTTTCAATTCAGTAGATACCATTCGGTCGTTCTAAAGCTGTAAAGTCACAAAAGGAATTTTTAAGAAACAGAAACTGAGCGGAATATTTTGAATTTTAAAATTTGCAGTCATGACTCAAGAACAATTGTAATACTCCTTTCCTTATAAGAAATTTTTTGTCTCTTACTCAAGTTTAGTGCATACATACATATGTTTTAATCACAAAACGATGTACAATTTAAATTTATAATTTTTAATAAAATGTGCGTAATCATTTTAGTATGAAATCAGTTAAATTCAAGAGCAGTCTGTAGTTTTATTAGGCGGGTTTTAAAACTGTTTTACATATATATATTCCTTGTTGCGAGCACATTCTTTGTCAAAACAAGAAGCTTTCTTTAAGTGCTGCGATCTTCGCTTGGAAGTCACTACAGTGGTTTGGTAGTGAGAAGGCGATTTTGGTATCTCTATTATCTGGTTTGGATCGATCCGTATCGGTGCTTATCTCTGTGCTCCCGTCTATCTCGCCCCTATCCCACTCTTCTCTGGAAGGCAATATTGGGGACGAGATTTAGTTTCAGTTCTATAGGATCACGAAAAATCAAGGTATTGGGTAGAAATCGGAACTTACTAAGTATCTTAGAATGCTACTTTTAAGGGCGACTAATAGGAAGGATTCCCTCAGTCAAAATATAAGGCACCATAAATCTTGCAAAGAATCTGTATGCCGAACACCTTCAACATCGTATATTGAAATCTGGACTTTTTCGGTGTTAATGCTGTTTCATCTTTTCTAATAGAAGCGAAGATTATAAAACTGTGAGGTGACAAATCTGAGTGCTTTAGAGCTGCTGTGCAATTTAACTGCTCCGAAATTGAATCCCCACAATCTTACGATAAATAGAGCAGCCCTAAGTGAAAACCCGCTCATTGTCAAAACTCTCTAAGATATTTTTTAGTATAAACATGGTGGTAATACCGAGCCTCACCTACACATACACATATATTTATTTACAATTTGGTATATGCAAATCTGCAACACTGTTTTTAGCTTGTTTTTGTGATATTCGTAACATAACCACCCTAATGTAGTGCCTCTTACACCTAATTCTACTGAACTTTAACATCACACTAGGCCGTAACACCTTTTAAGTATTGCTAAATGTTTTACAATTTCTTTGTGATATTTACACGCTTATTGCATGACATAACTCACAACGGCAATAAAATAAATGGCAAACATTTCCGAGAATTAATAAATCTTGCTGTGGTTTTAAGGAAAATATGAAGATATATGAGTCTACAAGCAATCAGCCGAAAGCGTGAATAAAATTGTCGCTAATAATATGCAGCAATTTATGAATATACTCCGAAGTCGGGGGTCGCCAAGGTGCCGCTATAGAACATGTATGGACCTAGGGTGCAATTACAATTTACGATCAACTTCAAGCATTCAAGTTTTCTAATAGTTATACCTGTTATACAAGTACTCCAACCTTATAATATAACATATACACACATTTCGTCGTAGAAATATAAAATTCCTTGCAAAGCAAACACGCAGTTGCACTCAACCTTTTGCATGGCAGCAGGTAAAGAAAATCACATATTGCATGTATCCACCACACGCTTTCGCCTTTCGCTTAGAACAATTATAAGGTACTTGTAACATAAACAACAACAACCGCATCATAAACAAGATTATCATTTTCACTTGTAGTCATAATTTAACCATAATTAGCATTAATTATTAAAATTTATTGTAACATCAAAAAGTTAAACGACACAAATGCGGTGAAAGCTCAAAGTATCGCCAGCGGAATGGTGATGAAGGTTGCGCCTAAGCCATGTAAAAATAGAAATATTTCAAATGCTGCCTTGTAGAACACACCCATGTACACATGCACACACACATACATGGAAAACGCCTACTCGGTTTGAAATATTAGAAGTGCTTATTTGTGGGCGCTCGTGGAGACTGGGGTAAGCCAATAAAATAATTTTTTAATTGCGTCTAAATTGCTTGTTGCTGCGGAGATGACAAATGATAATCTGTATGAAAGCAAGAAGCTATTATACCTATGACAGCGCCATGTCTTAATAATAAAAAGACGCGCTAAGTCGGCAAAACGCATCAAAAATTATTTGACTTCTTTACGAAGCGGAAGATTATTGTGTCGAAAAGAAATGATGTATAAAGACACACAAGCTCGCTTTGAGCTCTCTCCACTTTGATATAATTTCATTGTTATATAATATTTCCATATGTGGCAGTTATAAAATGTTTGCGAAAGTGAAATCAAGTGCTTTATATGGTAGTGCATCCACTTCCAAACCATTTAACTCGACTCAAACAAAGTCAAAAGAAAATGAATATTCGAAAATAAAAGTGAGTTTATGCGCAATTACGTTGTTGCAGTGATGACGTATGTTCACAAGCCATCTTACGCTGGAAATTACAAACGTTAACTGAAAAGCTTTTATTTTCTAAAGTAATGGCTTACTACTCTGAAAGTAAAGTGCTTAATGCTGTCTGTGCCTTGCATACTGTTAGTAGCCACCATAAAGTTTTACTGCTAAAATAACTGTTAAACATGCTCCAAGTTAAGCTTGTTACCTTAAGCCAACTCAGCTTTACATAACACTAACTGTAAATTCAAACCTGAAACTTTGCTGTTAGTGTGCATTGCTGCTTACTCAAGGTTGATTTCTAAGATTTTCACGTGTTTGAAAGTTAAACTTTTTGCTGAAAGCAATCTGGGCTTTGTAGAGATTTTTTTCCACCTCAAACCTGGAAGGTCCAACAGACTTTGATAATATTATATAATAAACAGTTGTTCGGCGTGCTTAAAGTTCAAGTCGTAAGCTTGATGTTTTATCATCTGATACCAATGAAGTAAAGCTGATATTTTACAGTTTGTACATTATTTATTAAATTTTGTGTATAACTTCAAATATTTTTGTCTTGGCTGCTTAAGGTTTCAAAGCTTTCAAAAACAAGTTTTGTTTCTTAAAGAATAAAGCTTTTAGTCGCAATCAGTTGTTTCTTAAGCTAAGAAGCCAATTAAACTTTCAAGTTTCCAAAAATGGTATCGAAAGTTTTAATTAAAAAGAAGTAAGGAGAAGCTTGGTTCGGGTGTTACCAAAAATTTCGTACTCTAACATCTCTTTCGAATTTCAATAATATATTTTATAGATTGACCGATATTTTCGTTAGAAGGTTCGCAATTAGAACTGGTGTCCTCATATTCGGTATTTGGGGGTTTGTATAGTTGTAGTATAAATTTTGCTCATAAAATGGCATATTTTGCACTATTTATGCAAAGTTATAACCCGATATGTTCATGTGTGCTTGGTTTGTTTACTGAAAAGTGAAAAAATCAGTTGGAATTTTAAATTGGATTATACGAAATGTAGGCGTGGTCCGCTTTCGACCATTTTCGCACTGTAAAATAGGAATGTTGCGTTGAAATAATTGGAGCAGGTCCTGAAATGTACGTTTTTACCTAAATATGAGCAGTGCCACACCCATTATAAAATTAAATAAAAAACTATTTTTAATTTTCGAAGGCGATACTAAAAAAAACTTTTAAGAAAGTTAAGTTGATTGGGCTTAAGTGATTTGAAAGATATGTTTATTACACGTATTAGGGGTCGGAGCCACGCCCATTTTATAAAGATTTCTAACCACAGATGCTACTCAGCACTGCAATCTCATGCACAACAGGACAGCTGTGTATCTCAATTTGGAGCTTATTTATAGCAGTTTATAGGTTTAAGACCAAAAGAGCTTTTCTGGGCGTGGTAAGCTATAAAGAACACTGTGTGTTTTCATACTCACATTTTCAAGAATTTTTTTTAGCTACAAATTTTCTTCACACCAGCTCCCAAAAAAATCAAATTCATTAATATCAAGATAAATCTTCGTATATTTTTCATGCTTTATTTATTTAAATATCTGATTTAAATCACTCACAAAGTTTGTTACAGTTAATAATTTGCAACTCTTATTCACCTTACTGGGTGTTTCTTAGGAAGATAGCGGTAAAATCTTTCACTTGCCGTTATTTTTCTCAAACCGGATTCAAAAATATAAACAATCGCTCAGTGGCACCAGACTGCAAGCTTTATCATCTATTTGCTACAGCTTATTCAGCAAGAATCTGCGGTGAGCTTTTTAAAGCATAGTGTATTAATAAGGTCTAGGTTGCATTTGGTTATTTGGAAAGCTTCTTGCTGCTCATGTATAATGAAAACTGTTTTAAAATTCCCTATATAAACCAACGAACATAACAGCTAGAGGCTGCTGGCATCAGTGTTTTCGAAACGATAATATTTATGGCATATGTTAACAGAAGTGAAAGCACAGTTTGGGAGGCATTGCATTTGTTAAACATAATTCTGTACTTTTTTCATGTTAAATACATTTTCACACAGTTTATAAAGCTACACAATTAATTATACCCTGAGAAGGGTATAATAAGTTTGACACGATGTTTGTAATAACCCGCAGGAAAGGTCGAAGGCCCTATAAAATATATAAAATATCGGGTCACTACATATGTAGGTGCAATACAAACTCACTGAACGATCGGAATCAAGTGCTCATATGGAAAATTGTTTCATTTAACAATTTAGCATCAAGAACTTTAGTATGGTCTAATGCCTAAGGCAATGTTAAAAACTCCGAAGAAATAGTTCAGATCGGGTCACTATTACATAGAGCTGTCATACAAACTGAACGATCGGAATCAAGTACGTGTATAAAAAACTTTTTCATTTAATGAGTTATACTCACGTTATTTTACACGGGTTGTTGTCAAAAAAAAACGAAATAATCTATGAATTTCATCCGGTTAGCACATTTTCTCGCCCTTCTTAAGAACTGGTCTTCAGCAAGAGGCAACTTGTCTTTCTCATTCTTCCGCTCTAAAACTTCTGAAAGCTATCTGAAATTTTAGTAGAAATTCTTCGCATTTTTTGAAAGTACTTATATTATATACACATAGCTACTGGTTGCATTAAGAGTCTGCGAAAGCACACCCTCGACTTGCTGGCCATTAATGGAAAATTCACAAATTAAAATGTATGTAAAAGTTCAAACAAATTCGCAGCCCATTACCAAAAAGCAATAAATTTAGAATGAATTCCACACTCAAACATGCAGAGTTTATCCACACCACACACACACATATATGCGCGCAAATAAATACAAGCAGACAATGTATGCGCCAATATCAGAGCGCATGGGTGGATGTGTGCAGAGGCGAGTAAAAAACTCAAATGAAATTTATCACTTGA